GATCTCTTCCTTTGCGTAAGGAATATGGCAAATAACGTAGCAAACAATCAGTTTCAGGTTCTTCGTGACGTATTATGTAGCGAATTTTAGGTTTTGCTCTTGTGTCCGAGAAGATCCTAAGGCTTTGACCGCCAAACTCCAGAAATATAGAACACCAATTTGTAATTGAAAATCTCAAACCCTTAATTTCATATCATGAAAGCTGACTTATTTGATTTTGAGCTTTCACTGCCAAAAAGTGAATAACTCAATAACAATTTGGTTTGGATTTCATTAGAGCTAGCCTTTGTGTGGATTGTAATATAATTGTTTTTTTTTCGTTCAAAGCCAATTATCTGCGAGGTAAGAACTTTACTGGCGTTTTGATTGCTAGGTCTCCACATTTGAATTTGATGATTCGCAGGAGCAAGCGAAATTATTCATACGCGAATGCATGGAACGTTTTTCCCCAAAAATGACGTACATCCACCAGAAACTATGACCCAAATTACCGAGTGCTCTTGATGTTTACACTGTACTCCTCTAACAGGGTAAGATATGATGTAATTTAGACGAAAAAGAGGCAGCGAGAGGTTCGAGCTATGTCAGACAGGGCGTGGCTTGCTGTGCTACGCCGTATAAAGCCGATCGCTGCTTGGAAAATTCATTCTGTTACCTCGTACTCATTGAGTAACGAGCCTCTAGTCGCGAAACCGTGACTGATCATGCCGAACTTTCTGAAGGTACGTGGATGCACAATTGTTTCGGATCCAAAGTTCATAAGCGCTCTTTTCAGCACCTCAAGCTTGATGAGGCTGAACTGCCATCATGCGATCGTACACCACCACGGACGCCGAAAACTCCTTGCACACCTATGGAGTTACAGAACCATACTTTTTGCTTTAGGAAAGGTAAAAAAGCTTGTTCTGCTACCCGGGATCTATTCTTTTACTAAATCGGTTTTGCAGGACCGGATACTCCAGTAATTTACCAGCCGGAGGGTCATCCACGTCAGGCAGTCATTGATGGCGATATCTGGCCACCAATCTTCAAGCCTCAACACGTGCGGTAAGCATTGTATGCTCTACCGACTGGTTGGGACGCAAGAAATAGAAGTGCAGTCTAGTAGATTTATGGCTAATATGGTGCGCTTGCGGTTCCGTGATTTTGCGGTAAAATTCGCGTGTGGATAAGTATCTAGCGCTAGCAGTGCCGGCTACCTGCGCGCGAAATGCCAGCCGTCTGCGCGCGAAAATTGCCAGCATTTTGTCGTGGGTATTTGCCCACGCGCAGATTTTAAGGCGCAAAACCTTGGGCCGTAAGCACATTGTTTTGAAGGCAGTGTCTCGGCAGAATTTCGTTTTTCAGTTCAACACCTTTTCGGAGCCTTCTCGCCGTAGGGACCCTTATCTGGGCTTTTCAGCGCATGAAAATGGCGATAATGAATTTTTTAAAAACTTTCCAGGTCCTTCAGTGGAAAATACGCATAAGTGGCGGAATTTGAAACGAGGGAGGCGGGACACGCAAGATTTCCGGCGTATTTGCATTGAATGCGGGCCTTGAAAACTTATAAAAAGACTCATTTTAGCCATTTAGATGCGCGGAAAAGCCAAGATAT